ACTGCGCCACCATGTCCCCCAATTATCTAGATTAGTGTTTCTCAACCTTGGCAATTTTAAGATGTGTGGACTTCAACTCCCAAGATTCCCCAGCCAGCATGTCTGGCTAGGGAATTCTGGGAGTTGAAGTCGATACATCTTAAAATTGCCAAGGTTGAGAAACACTGATCTAGAAGTATCTTCCTCAGGGTAGATTCCTAGACCAACACCCAACAGTCAAAAAAGAAAGGCAGTCTAGTAGGCAGAGGGAATCTAAATATGTATGTAGGCAGCCTGCTGTTACTGTTAGCAGAGAAATACATCAGAAACAGTCACTTTATCAGACTGTGGCAAAAGGAGAAAAAACAACAACAGTCAGATCTGTCAGGCTCCTCCTTCCAACAACTGGCAGCAGCTCATCCATCAGCCCAAGGTGACAGGAAGAAATAAGAGAGCCACACCATTAGTACAACTGTGAGCTCAGCAACTTGAACTCCTCTTATCCTTGAGCTGTTTTAATTGCTACTTCTTTGTTGTTTAAAAAAAACCCTTAAAACTGAGAGTTAGTGTCTAAAACTGCTTTTAATTCTGCCCTCTCTGTTTGTCTTGTATGTTTGAGGAAGAAGTCATTTGATCAGAGAGATTTGTAAGTTGCTCTGTGGATCTTTTCAGCTGAAAAACAGCAAAACCGCTTCAGCGAAGATAAATCTGTCAAAAGACATGATGCTATATCACTAATCTTCCACACGACCTCAGACAACATTTCAACTGGGAAATAGTAGAAAATTTTAGTACAAGCCACATAAAAAATGCTAGAGAATTCTTAAAAGTGTGATCTCCAACCAACCTACAATCAACAGACATATCAATGTTTGGTTGACTCTAACGCCACTGGCCTTTAGAAAGGCTTTAAAAACATGGTTACTTACCCAAATGCTAGGGCTGAGATGAATATTGAGCCAAGATGCATATTAATGACTACAAATGTTAATGGTGCTGTTGGTAATTCTTATTTTGATTGATTTTGGGGTGGTTGGGGTATGCCTTACAGAGTCACAAAGCTGGATGACCATATACATTATATAAATAAATAAATAAATAAATAAATAAATAATGTTTAAAGCCTATCTATGAACCTATCAAAAAATACAACCAAAGACTTAATTCACATGCAAATTAACACCCAGAGAATTCCCTCTCCAAAGCATGGACGTAACTGACATAATAGAAAGATACATACAACCCTTGCTAGCCGAGGAATCTCACTTCCCCACGTCTCCAGTACTGACAATGTTATCTAGCATAGTAATGAAATGTTTGCAACCTTAGAGAATTCGAACATTATGCCAACCCTGAGCTACACATATTCTCTACTATCACAGATAATACATAACTAGAAACAGTGATACCATACTTGTTAAAGTTTTCTCCTCTGTATCAGTAGATAGGAGACATGTTGCATGTTAAACTGTAATCAGTAAGATAATTTTAGATTCTAGTTTTAATAATCTTCTAGGGTCGTCTTTGAACTGGCAGTGGTTCACTTGTGGTAAACCAGATCTATAGTATTGTTGGGGGACCATTCTGATGAGCACGGCTCTGGATATCCTGTCACTAAATATCACAGCATATTTTCTGATATAAAACCTCTGGTTGCTGAGTGTTAGGAGTATGCCTGAATTTGTTAATGGTAACCTTCCATTATTTATTAGCAGGAAATGCATGCACTAACTTTGAGTCAAAGAAACCAACATTCTGTTTCAAATGGTGTCAAAGAATTTGTGAACATCAGAGAGAAAAGGACTACAGGAACAAGAGGAACAAAGACCAGCCATGGCTTAATGCTATGCCTTATCCTCTTAGGCATATGAAACAAGAAAGAATCTTGCTCTTGTTTTCAAAGTTTGTTTATTTATTGCTGTTAGAAATAGAAATGTAAATATTTAAGAAATGAATGGGTATACAGGCATGCCTTTTACTTGAGTCCTCATCTTGCAGTTGCACAACTTTCAATGTTTCTATTCTGAGTTGATAGTCCACTCAAATTTAAATCTTTAAGCTAGAGCTACCACATCTGGGCTACAAAAATCCAAATGACCACTAGATGGCAGCAAAGCTTAGGTTTTATCTACTGTATCTCTTTGCTGCCATCCATGGTAGTCTTGTTTAAGGTACAACAAATCATTTCCTGGTTTTTGCTATACGAAACTATCATGGCAACTCTGGAACTTGCTCAGTCACCCTTACTAACTCACGGCAAAATATATGGATTCCCTCTGTCTGAGGTGATACAAGATGCTCTATTGTCTTTGATCTAGAATGGCATATTGTACAGCAGCCCAGTTATTTTAGGTACTAAAATCATTTTACCGGTGATTTAAAACACTGAAATTATTCTAGGACTTGTTTGTTTCACTGACATGCTCTTAGTCTCTTTTATCTAAGCCCACATTTGCCCTCACAGCTGGAATTATGTTTTGAGAGACCTACATCTTTTCTTTTTTTAATGATCTCTTAAGGGAAGGGAGTGGGAAACCTTCTGACATTCACAGCAGGTATTGTCTTTACCAGTGGCTTTCAAATAGGAACATGCTGTGTGAAAGCCTTTCCTTCTTAGATAATGGAAAAAAATCTTATCCAAGTCATCTCTTTGGCATTTTTTCTTAAAATCTGAATGACAACACAATATATAGATTCAGCATTATATTCATAGTAGAACTTGTTACTATAGTAATCAGTGAAAAGTAATATTTATGTTTGTGAAACCTGAAAACCTGTTGTGATACACACAATTCATAGATCTGGCAGAACAAAAGGATGACTGGATGATAATAAATAACAAGGTAGAAAAATACATCTAATTTCTATTTGATTCTCTAATCCTCTGGAGCAATATCAAGGTGACACACAGATTTGGGGATTTGTACTCCACACACAGAAAACGCCACATTTGGGAAGGTTATGCTATATGGTATTGTTTTAAGTGAGATGAAATCCAGCTGTTGAAAAACTGGGTTCTAGCAGGGACTTCACGGATACACATACCTTGCTTGTAGAAGCCAATTACTTCTTTGCCACTATCCCTTTACCTAACTATAGGAATAAAGAGAGGCTGGTTGACATTCATTGACATTTGCATGAACTTACTCAACTGATACTTGGGTATTTTGCAGTGGTGTTCAAGATAGCAACTGTGCTTTATGGTGAATGGCTACCCATTTGCTAAAAGCAAGTTGCTGCAATGGGCAAACAGGAAAAAAATATGTTACCTAAGGGACCGCCTCTCCCCTATGACTTCAACCTGTCCCACCCATTCACACAGAGAGGGCATGCTTTGGACCCCCTCAGTAAAAGAACTCCGTCTAGTGGGGTCCAGAGGGTGGGCCTTCTCTGCGGTAGCCCCCACTCTTTGGAACACTCTGCCCCCAGAGGTGCGATTGGCCCCCTCACTCCTGACCTTCTGAAGGACCTTGAAGACCTGGCTCTGTCACTTGGCCTGGGGTGGGGAGGGAATATCTCAAGC